GTTATGATCGGGTGTATATTGTGATTTTGGCGTAGTTTAAACGTGAAATCGGATGGAACATATATATATAGATGTTATATCTAAATCTTAACCGATCTGAAACAAATTTTTCTGAGTTGTTTTTAGCCTATAAAAAACATGAAAACTAAATTTTACGATGATCGGATGTATTTTGTGGGTTTTGCGTTACTTAGACGTGAAATCGGATGGAACATATATATTGGAGCTATATCTTAATCTGAACCGCTTTGAACCAAATTCGACACACTTATTGGCAGACTAAAAAAACGTACAAACCAAATTTCATCGCCATCCCTTATATATTACAGATTTGGTGCATCTTAAACCTGAAATCGGATGAAAATATATATGGGAGCTATATCCAAATCGGAGCTGATTTCATTCAAATTCCACAAAAACAATTCTAGTAACAAACCAGTAAGGAAATTGGTAAAGTCGGACTGGACCGACTATATGATACCCTTCACCACTTTGGGTATTTTCTACATATGTATCCTAACAGATGACGCGTTTTTGTTATATATCTATATCTGAACCGATTTCCACGAAACTTTGCACACATCATTCTAGACCTAATTCAGTACGCTATTTCAAAATTCGTGCAAATCAAAAGATTTCAAGGGACTTTATTGGACTATTTACTTAAAATCGGAGGAAGATATATATGGGATCTATATCTAAATCTGTACTTTGCACACATCATTCTAGACTTAATTCAGTACCATTCGTGCTAATCGAAAGATATATAGGGACTTTGGTGCACCAATTACCTAAAATCGGATGAAAATATATATGAAAGCTATATCTAAATCTGAACCGATTTTCACGAAACTTTGCAGACAACATTCTAGACTTAATTCAGTACGCTATATAAAAATTCGTGCAAATGAAAAGATTTCCGGGGACTTTGGTGCACCAATTACCTAAAATCGGGCGAATCTATATATGGGAGCTATATCTAAATCTAAACCGATTTTCATGAAACTTAGCACATATTATTGTAGACGCAATTCAGTACCCTGTGCCAAATTTCGTGCAAACCGAAAGATATACAGGGGCTTTGGTGTCCCATTTACCTTAAATCGGACGATACTATATATGGGAGCTATATCTAAATCTGAACCGATTTCCACGAAACTTTGCACACATCATTCTAGACTTAATTCTGTACGCTATACGAAAATTCGTGCAAATCGAAAGAATTCCAGCGACTTTAGTGGACTATTTACCTAAAATCGGACGAAGATATATATGGGAGCTATATCTAAATCTAAACCGATTTTCATGAAACTTAGCACATATTATTGTAGACGCAATTCAGTACCCTATACCAAAATTCGTGTAAATCGAAAGATATATAGAGACTTTGGTGCACCAATTACCTAAAATCGGATGAAAATATATATGGGAGCTATATCTAAATCTGAACCGATTTTAACGAAACTTTGCACACATGACTCTAGACTTAATTCAGTACGCTATATAAAAATTCGTGCAAATGAAAAGATTTCCGGGGACTTTGGTGCACCAATTACCTAAAATCGGGCGAATCTATATATGGGAGCTATATCTAAATCTAAACCGATTTTCATGAAACTTAGCACATATTATTGTAGACGCAATTCAGTACCCTGTGCCAAATTTCGTGCAAACCGAAAGATATACAGGGGCTTTGGTGTCCCATTTACCTTAAATCGGACGATACTATATATGGGATCTATATCTGAATCTGAACCGATTTTCTTCAATTTCAATAGGGTTCGTCCTTGGGCCAAATAAGTGACTTGTGAAAAATTTCATACAAATCGGAACATAAATGCGACCTGTACTTTGTTTACAATTTCACACCAACAGACGGATGGACGGACATGCATAAATCGACTCAGAAAGTGATTCTATGCATATTCGCAAAAGGAACCATGTGTCTATCTCGTTTCCTTTTGCCTGTTACAAACATATGCACAAAAACACTCCGAATAAGGGTCTAATTTTTTTTTGTAAATAATCGCTCCCAACCTTATAGTGGTTCGAAAAAATGTTTTAAAATAAACTAAAAAACTAAGGGTTTAAAAATATTTGTTAAAAAATTCTCGCTCCCAATCTAATTGTGGCCCAAAAAAGCACAAAAAATATATATTTTCCAAATAAGCGTCTAAAAATATTAAAAAAAAAATCGGCCCTCTCAATGAGAGTCTAAAAAAATTTTGAAAACATTTACGATCTGATAGTGGATCTAAAAATACTAAAAAAGCTCTCTGAATAAAGGGTCTAAAAAATTATTATTTTTTTTTTTTAAATCGGCAAAAAATATTTTCAGCTAGGGCCTAAAAATATTTGTAAAAAATCTACGCTCTGAATAGGGGTCTAAAAATATATTTATCTGGATGCTTTGAACGCTAAAAAATATTTTTTAAAAATTCTAGGCTCTGGTAACGACCTAACAGAAATATTTGGTTTAAAAAATTCAGGCTTTAATTGCGGAACTAACAATTTTTTAAGTATACTCTACGAATGAGGGTCTAAATAACATATTTTTTATACGACGATCGATAAAGGATCTACATTTTTTAATGGTAGGCTCTGGTAATGAATGAATCTAAAGATTTTTTTTTTAATTTACTCTCCGATTTTGGGTCTAAAAAATATTTAAAAAAAATACCCTAAAAATTAGGACCTAAAAAATATTTTTTTGCAAAACTGATTCTCGAATAGTGTACCTAAATATTATTCTTTAAAATCGACGCTCTGATACTGGATCTAATTTGTTGTTAATATTCTAGCGTCTGATATCGACCTAACATAACTATTTTTTTAAAAAAATGTGGACTTAAAACCTAACAGAAATACAATTTAAAATATTTAGTTTCTAATTAGTTTAAATCTGCTCACCAATACTGGACCTAAAAATTTTTTTTAATCTTTTTCTGATAGTGCACTGAAAAAGTGTTTAACAAAATATGTAGGGTGTTCAAAAATAATTTATATTCTAATACTACAAAACAAATTGTCCAACAACAAAACAATACTGCTAATTTTTTCAGAATTTCCAAAGAATTTCTTGCTTGTTTTTGATTCATGACAATAAAATCGCGTTTTTTACATCAGTTTCTTTCAGATATTTAGGTCAACTATTTTGGAATTTTTCTATAATAATATTTCATTTTTAAAACATTTTTTTGTTTTTGGCAGTCCCCAACGGAAAAACAATCAATAGTTTGTTCAACATTATTTATGTTTGTTTCTTTTGGCGGTTCGTAGTAAATTATGAGTTTATTACGATATGACATGAAAAGAGATTCTTGTCGTCAATTTTTTTTCGTAAATCTGTTTTTTTAGTGTTTTATAAACAAAATATTTTCGAACGCATGCTTCCTATTTAAATATGATTTACTGGCGGAAATTCAAAATCTGTACATATGTTGGCAATTCTTTTTTTATCGCCAAACATTAATGAAAATTTGTTTACATTTCGTAATGAGGAAATACATGTGTAGGTTCTTAAAAATATTTTTTGAAAAAAATCCACGCACTGTGAAGACCTCCAAAAATATTTTTTAAAAAAATCCATGCCTTGCGAAGGCCTCCAAAACTATTCTTTAAAAAATCCACGCCTTTTGAAATCCTCGAAAAAATATTCTTTAAAAAATCCACGCCTTTTGAAATCCTCGAAAAAATATTCTTTAAAAAATCCACGCCTTTTGAAATCCTCGAAAAAATATTCTTTAAAAAATCCACGCCTTTTGAAATCCTCGAAAAAATATTCTTTAAAAAATCCACGCCTTTTGAAATCCTCGAAAAAATATTCTTTAAAAAATCCACGCCTTTTGAAATCCTCGAAAAAATATTCTTTAAAAAATCCACGCCTTTTGAAATCCTCGAAAAAATATTCTTTAAAAAATCCACGCCTTTTGAAATCCTCGAAAAAATATTCTTTAAAATATCCACGCCTTTTGAAATCCTCGAAAAAATATTCTTTAAAAAATCCACGCCTTTTGAAATCCTCGAAAAAATATTCTTTAAAAAATCCACGCCTTTTGTAGGCCTCGAAAAAATATTCTTTAAAAAATCCACGCCTTTTGTAGGCCTCGAAAAAATATTCTTTAAAAAATCCACGCCTTTTGTAGGCCTCGAAAAAATATTCTTTAAAAAATCCACGCCTTTTGTAGGCCTCGAAAAAATATTCTTTAAAAAATCCACGCCTTTTGAAATCCTCGAAAAAATATTCTTTAAAAAATCCACGCCTTTTGAAATCCTCGAAAAAATATTCTTTAAAAAATCCACGCCTTTTGAAATCCTCGAAAAAATATTCTTTAAAAAATCCACGCCTTGTAAAGACCTTGAAAAAATATTCTTTAAAAAATCCACGCCTTGTAAAGACCTCGAAAAAATATTTTTTAAAAAATCCACGTCTTGTAGAGATCTCCCAAAGATATTCCTTAAAAATCCACGCCTTGTCAATACCTCTCAAAAATATTCTTTTAAAAATCCACGCTTTGTAAAGACCTCGAAAAAATATTCTTTAAAAAATCCACGTCTTGTAGAGATCTCCCAAAGATATTCCTTAAAAATCCACGCCTTGTCAATACCTCTCAAAAATATTCTTTTAAAAATCCACGCTTTGTAAAGACCTCGAAAAAATATTCTTTGAAAAATTCACGCCTTATATAGAAATGTTGTGTTTTTATTTATGACACCCAGGAATGTCCAAACATTTGTACATTTTTTTTCATCATTAACAACAACATTAAATTTCCAATTGATACAAGCCATTTGATTGAACAACAACAACATGAAGCAATTATTTATAATTCGTTTTCGCATTCTTTCTTTGCAGTTGAACTGATTTATAGCAGCAATCACGGCTCTCTAGCCCCTGGGAGGAGAAAATTTCTTAAAACAAAATAACACACATACACAACCACACACATTTGTATATGTTCGCCATCACAGCAACCGCGTAGAGCCACCACCATTAACAACAAATCATGGAACAACCATTAATAGTCCAAGCCGAGTACTCCTTCAAGGGGGGCAACAATGATGAATTGTGCTTTAAGAAAGGTGATCTAATCACTGTGACACAGCGTGAAGAGGGTGGCTGGTGGGAGGGTACACTAAACGATAAGACTGGCTGGTTTCCCAGCAATTATGTTATGGAATATAAGGCACCATTGCCCATTACCGATTCTATTCGGCCACCCGAGGAGATACAAGAATATAGATCGGTAGTACTCAAAGATTTGCTCGATTCGGAGCGGGCCCATGTGGCTGAGGTCCAAGGACTGTTGGAGAACTTTTTGGAACCACTACAGCAAACACAAATGTAAGTAGCACACAATCAAACCCTCCTCATTTCCTCCATTAATTAATAATGACCTCCTTCTCCTCCGTCTTTTGTTTTGCAGTTTGAATGCCGATGAATACGCTCAATTAATGTGCAATTTTGTTGAGGTTGTCAAGACCCACGAAGAGCTGCTGACACAAATGGAAGAGTGCAATGATCGTGTGGGCAAACTATTTCTAAATAAGGCACCACTGATGAAACAGGTTCATCAGGCCTATTGTGCTGCACATCCCAAAGCTATTGTTATATTAGATAAATACAAGTAAGTGTGTATGTGTGTGAGTTTGTCTGTGTGTTTGCAAACTTAATTATTGCCAAACCTTGCCAAATGACTAATAATTTTGTTATTGTTGTATTTGCTTAATTAAACAAAAGTGTTATTATAGTTACCATCAAATCATTTTGTTGTTTATTTTGCGATAAGAATATATTGAAAAAATTGTTGTTGTATACATTTGATAAACACCTAATTTATGTATTTGATAAAAATGTCTAGTATTGATATTTATTTATTAAAAAAAAAATTAAAACCTATAACTAAGACCCACCACAATTCACCAGACGTGATAGGGGGTTTATAAAAACTTTACGCCTTTGATAGACCTTCAAAAAAAAATCTTTAAAAAATCCACGCCTTTGATAGACCTTTAAAAAATCCACGCCTTTGATAGGCCTTTAAAAAATCCACGCCTTTGATAGACCTTCAAAAAATACTCTTTAAAAAAATACTTAAAAGATACCCTTTAAAAAAATACTTAAAAGATACCCTTTAAAAAATCCACGCCTTTGATAGACCTTCAAAAAATACTCTTTAAAAAATCCACGCCTTTGATAGACCTTCAAAAAATACTCTTTAAAAAATCAACGCCTTTGATAGACCTTCAAAAAATACTCTTTAAAAAATCCACGCCTTTGACAGACCTTCAAAAAATACTCTTTAAAAAATCCACGCTTTTAATAGACCTTCAAAAAATACTCTTTAAAAAATCCACGCTTTTGATAGACCTTCAAAAAATACTCTTTAAAAAATCCACGCCTTTGATAGACCTTCAAAAAATACTCTTTAAAAAATCCACGCCTTTGATAGACCTTCAAAAAATACTCTTTAAAAAATCCACGCCTTTGATAGACCTTCAAAAAATACTCTTTAAAAAATCCACGCCTTTGATAGACCTTCAAAAAATAATCTTTAAAAAATCCACGCCTTTGATAGACCTTCAAAAAATAATCTTTAAAAAATCCACGCCTTTGATAGACTTTCAAAAAGTAATCTTTAAAAAATCCACGCCTTTGATAGACCTTCAAGAAATAATCTTTAAAAAATCCACGCCTCATATAGACCACCAAAAAATAATCTTTAAAAAATCCACGCCTTTGACAGACCTTCAAAAAATAATCTTTAAAAAATCCACGCCTTTGATAGACCTTCAAAAAATACTCTTTAAAAAATCCACGCCTTTGATAGACCTTCAAAAAATACTCTTTAAAAAATCCACGCCTTGTAGAGACCTCCAACAACTAATCTTTAAAAAATCCACGCCTTTGATAGACCTCCAACAACTAATCTTTAAAAAATCCACGCTTTTGATAGACCTTCAAAAAATACTCTTTAAAAAATCCACGCCTTTGATAGACCTTCAAAAATACTCTTTAAAAAATCCACGCTTTTGATAGACCTTCAAAAAATACTCTTTAAAAAATCCACGCCTTTGATTGACCTTCAAAAAATACTCTTTAAAAAATCCACGCCTTTGATAGACCTTCAAAAAATACTCTTTAAAAAATCCACGCCTTTGATAGACCTTCAAAAAATACTCTTTAAAAAATCCACGCCTTTGATAGACCTTCAAAAAATACTCTTTAAAAAATCCACGCCTTGTAGAGACCTCCAAAAAATAATCTTTAAAAAATCCACGCCTTGTAGAGACTTCCAAAAAATAATCTTTAAAAAATCCACGCCTTGTAGAGACCTCCAAAAAATAATCTTTAAAAAATCCACGCCTTGTAGAGACCTCCAAAAAATAATCTTTAAAAAATCCCCGCCTTGTAGGGACCTCCAAAAAATAATCTTTAAAAAATCAACGCCTTGTAGAGACCTCCAAGAAATAATCTTTAAAAATTCCACGCCTTTGATATCCCTTCAAAGACCTCCCTCTTGTGTAGAGACCTCCTAAAAATATACTTTAAAAAATCCACGCCTTGTAGAGACCTCCAAAAAATATTCTTGAAAAAATCCACGCCTTTGATAGACCTTTAAAAAATAATCTTTAAAAAATCCTTACCTTTGATAGACCTTCAAAGACCTCCCTTGTAAAGACCTCCCAAAAATATTCTTTAAAAAATCCACGCCTTTGATAGACCTTCAAAGACCTCCCTCTTGTGTAGAGACCTCCCAAAAATATTCTTTAAAAAATCCACGCCTTTGATAGACCTTCAAAAACCTCCCTCTTGTGTAGAGATCTCTTAAAAATATACTTTAAAAAATCTACGCCTTGTGTAGAGATCTCCTTAAAATATACTTTAAAAAATCCACGCCTTGTGTAGAGACCTCGTAAAAATATTCTTTAAAGAATCCACCCCTTGTGTAGAGACCTCCAAAAAATATTCTTTAAAAAATCCACGCCTTGTGTAGAGACCTCGTAAAAATATTCTTTAAAGAATCCACCCCTTGTGTAGAGACCTCCAAAAAATATTCTTTAAAAAATCCACGCCCTGTAAGGGACTTTAAAAATATTCTGTTTAAAAAGTCTGATTTTTAACATTGTTTTCTTTTCTAATTCCAGAGATGAACTGGAAAAATACATGGAACAGCAGGGAGCTGCAAAACCTGGCCTTTTAGTCTTGACAACGGGTCTGTCCAAACCATTTCGCCGTCTGGATAAATACTCAGCCATGTTGCAAGAATTGGAACGACACATGGAAAGCAGTCATCCCGATCGGGGAGATACACAACGAAGTGTAGCGGTTTATAAGGATATTGCGGTAAGTTGTCGATCACGATTACTATAACAGATTAATCCATTTTTTATTTACTTTTTGTAGGCCACCTGTTCCGCCACCCGCAGACAAAAAGAACTAGAACTGCAAGTCTTAACGGGTCCTGTACGCGGTTGGCAAGGCCAGGAACTCAGCTCATTGGGTGAAATAATCCACATGGGCAGTGTGGCAGTGGGTTTGGATCATCGCGATCGTTATTTTGTATTATTTCCACAAACATTACTCATATTGAGTGTTAGCCAGCGAATGAGTGCTTTTATTTATGAGGTGGGGAAAGGAGATGGAGAGAGAGTGGACTTCCAGAATTAATTGGTTTTTGTTTTTCTTTTCTTAGGGTAAATTACCCTTAACAGGTATTGTGGTTAATCGCCTGGAAGATTCCGATACCTTTAAGAATGCCTTTGAAATCAATAGTCCTTTGATTGAGAGGATTATTGCCGTTTGCCAGGGACCCAATGAGGCCAATAAATGGGTCGAGTTGTTAACCTCAACCAATGCCAGTTTACCAATTGGCATTAAACGTCAACATAGTAATTTAAGTATAGGAGGCGGTGGCGGAGGAGGTGGTGGCGGTGGCCACATTTCAACACCACCCAGTCATGTAAGTATGAAATAAGGGAAATTCATTTTCGATTTTGTTTTGGAACTTACATTGGTGTAGCTAAGGATTTATGATTTCAATATTTTTTTTATTTTGAACACAAAATTTGATTTCAATTCTAAATACTAAACTTCCTACCTTCTATATATACTTGTATACCCCAAGTTCCTAAGCTCCCCCAATGTTTTGAAAAGAAATATAAAATTTAACCAACATTTCCAAAAAATATACTCAAAACCTTTTTTCTTTATAAATCAAATCAATCCAAAAAACGACCAAAACTTTTTTGTTGTTGTCTGTATAAAAAAAAACAAATCAAAATACGCGCTGCCATTCATTTAGACCTCGACGTCAGCTTCTTCTTCTTCCTCTATACATAATTTGGATGCGCGTGGCTATTGTACAAGATTTTCATTGTGTGCCTATTACAATACACCACAAATGCGTGTCACTCTACCGCCCAGTAATTATCCACCCACGGCCCCCTATGCAAATCTCAGTGATCACTTTGCCAAATTGGTCCAGGCCGGCCAATTGAAGGCGGTCATCATAAAAATGCTGCTGTATCCCCAGTCAAGACAGAGCATCAACATGGACGCGATACCATTGCGGAAGAGGCGACATAAAACGTGTAAAAAACTAGCCAGGTCTTTGACACCGGGAGAGGAACGATCGGCAGAGGAGAAATCCGGGGGAACACTGGAGAGACAGGATGCATTTTCATTGCCCACCGATTCGGAAAGTGGTGGTAGCGGTATTGTTAGTGCCCATGATTTTGATTTTGTGAGATTTTCCCGTAACGATTCCATTGTGTCCTCGACTGGTACCTTTATCGATCATGGCCCGGGGGCAGCAACACCACCCACGGGGAAACCCACCAGGCATTGTTCATCAATAAATCTCATCAATTTTGATTCCGGCTCGGATGACGGTCGTGATGGCCTGGGGACCACGAAGAAGGATTCTCTTATAATTGGTTCGAAAACGATGCGGGCCATAGGCCGTAAGTCATCGGAACAAAGTATTATTATACACACCTCCAAGGCCCATTTGACCATGGGAGGAGGTGGAGCGGGTGGTGTTGGTGGACTCACACAAACCAAGGAAATTAGCATACCTCATGCTCAGTCCGAACAACTGCTGAAACCTGAAGCATTGTTACAACAACAGACCTCTGAGACTTCGGAAAAATCCTCAGTATATGGTGGGCGCCTGAAGGGGGCCTATATTGCCTGTGAAAATTTAGCTGATCTCTGTGATGAAACAAAAATTAAAAACAGCTCCGTACAACATTTGGCCACATCTCCTCCTGAACGCCACAGTATGCCGAATATTTTTGTGGGTAATCGTTTCAATCGTAGTTCCAAGACAGAGGTCTATGTTCCCTCCTGGCAGGATCGTAATGATATGCAAAATCAAAGTGCCGATGCTGTGGAAATAAATCATGGCCGAGGAGAAGGTGCCGGCGGAGATGATACTGTGGATGGAGAGGTACATGCCAGCACCCTGGATATACCAGCCATGTCTCGTGAAGCACCCGATAAGCTGCAAGCCGAATTGTTATATAATTTCAATGATCTCCAACACGAGCAACAACAACACTCACCCACAAAATTACATTTCCAGCTAAATAATGGGGGAGATGATGATCATGTCATAGCACCACCCTCCATGTTCAATAACAACAAAAATTTCCATTTATCCCAAACGGAACTGTGCTTCGAACCCAAAAGAAGTAGCAATGAGGAAATGGGGCGAACCAAACGGAACTCAGTTAAACGTTGCATTAGCTATCATTATGTACCGCTAATGCAAGAGGAACACCAGCAGGGTGGAGAGGCCAATAGCTCGGTGGCAAATCAAGTACCACCCGATAGGAGTGATAATAACAACAACAATCGGAGACCTTTCCCGCTACCGGGTCAAAGTAATAGTAGCACCACCACCTCACCCAAATGTAAATGCTGTGAAAGTTCCCAATGTCCCAGCCCCAGATCCAGTGACAGCGGAATGGCTGGTAGTTGTACGATAAATTCCCCAGATCCTCCTGCCACCGAGGGTGGTGCCTATGAACCCTTCTACGATGTAGATGGTAATTTGAAATTACTCTCCAGTAATAATGATCTCACACGTTTCGATGTCTGCGGCACATTTCGTGAAAAGTTTTTAGAAAATTCTCAGCAATCGCAACAGGAGGAGGAGGCTCATGGGGAACATTCCCAGCCCCCCAATCAAATAACTTCTTTAGAATTCCAAAGGAATAGTAAAAGTATTTTTATTAGCTCCACGGCACCTTCCCATAGCCAGCAGCCATCTTCGTATGCCACACCCAATGGTGGTTTTATATTTACCTCACAGAGTCCCCATGAATCTGGCATGGAGCCGCCCCAATCCTCATCAGCATCAACCACAAATCCCAATGAAACACCAGGTGTATTCCGTTCGGGCATGTATGCCCATTGGTGGAAAAAAGAAACCCTGCCCAATGAAATTGTCAAAAGTATTGCCCAGGTTTACAATAAACGTCTACCACCGCCCTCCCATGAAGTCAGCTTGGATTCCCACTGTTCGCTATGCTCCAGTTGCCAGTGTTCCCTGGGCGGGGCAAGTGGTTTCAGTGAGGGTGCTGCCTATTGTAGTCTGTGTCAGGATTGTATTAGCATTTGTAGTTCTACGCAAACATCTTCCTCATCGAAATCAACCTGCTCGTCTTCGTCCTCGGCAAATCGTCAACAAATTGCCACCAACACTACCACAACCATAACCACATCTGCCGAATGTCCGCTGTGTAATAATTACAATAGCAACAACAACAATAACAACAGTGCCACCAACTGTTGCCCACCCCTGCGCAATTCAATTGGCAATAATACCCGCGTTGCTGCCAGCCACTCTGGCCAGTTAAGCAGTTCGGCCGGTTCATCCATGGATTGTCCAATTTGTAGTGGCAATTATTTGGCTCGCATGGAGTCCTTAGGTTCAATACGCGACGATGAAGATGCAATGCAGATGATGACATCGACGACGACGACAAATTCTGGTACTGGTCAAGCAGTCAAGCCATTGGCAGAAGGCAAGCATTTTTAAGCCCCCCCACACTCAAAAAATATATCATTTGCTGCTGCTGATGCTCGGCTACGCATTTGTGTGTTGTTGTTCGCGCATCTCGCAAATGTGTAGTTGTTGTGATATGAGCGTTTGTGCACGTTCTGTTTTATAAATTCGTTCAAATATTAGTTCTATATTTTTTTCAAATAATTCTTCTTAATCAATTTGTTTTCTAATATCGATTTATTTTTTGTTTTCCATTTTTTTGGCGATTAATTATTTTTGAATTTGTTCTATTTTGTCTGTGTGGTGGGAGAGAGCAGAAGGAGTCATGGTTTTTTAGGGGTGGGATAAAAACTAAATTGAAAGCCTTAAAACCCTTTATTTAAGGTGTGGATTTTTTAAAGAATTTTTTGTAGGAGGTCTCTACACAAGGCGTGGATTTTTTAAAGACTACTTTTTGTAGGTCTCTATACAAGGCGTGAATTTTCTAAAGACTACTTTTTGGAGGTCTCTATACAAGGCGTGGATTTTTTAAAGACTACTTTTTGGAGGTCTCTACACAAGGCGTGGATTTTTTAAAGACTACTTTTTGGGGGTCTCTATACAAGGCGTGGATTTTTTAAAGACTACTTTTTGGAGGTCTCTACACAAGGCGTGGATTTTTTAAAGACTACTTTTTGGGGGTCTCTATACAAGGCGTGGATTTTTTAAAGACTACTTTTTGGAGGTCTCTAAACAAGGCGTGGATTTTTTAAAGACTACTTTTTGGAGGTCTCTACACAAGGCGTGGATTTTTTAAAGACTACTTTTTGGAGGTCTCTACACAAGGCGTGAATTTTTTAAAGACTACTTTTTGTAGGCGTGGATTTTTTAAAGACTACTTTTTGTAGGCGTGGATTTTTTAAAGACTACTTTTTGGAGGTCTCTATACAAGGCGTGGATTTTTTAAAGACAAATTTTGGACTACTCTATACAAGGCGTGGATTTTTTAAAGACTACTTTTTGGAGGTCTCTATACAAGGCGTGGATTTTTTAAAGACTACTTTTTGGAGGTCTCTGTACAAGGCGTGGATTTTTTAAAGACTACTTTTTGGAGGTCTCTATACAAGGCGTGGATTTTTTAAAGACTACTTTTTGGAGGTCTCTGTACAAGGCGTGGATTTTTTAAAGACTACTTATTGGAGGTCTCTATACAAGGCGTGGATTTTTTAAAGACTACTTTTTGGAGGTCTCTATACAAGGCGTGGATTTTTTAAAGACTACTTTTTGGTGGTCTCTATACAAGGCGTGGATTTTTTAAAGACTACTTTATGGAGGTCTCTGTACAAGGCGTGGATTTTTTAAAGACTACTTTTTGGAGACTACTTTTTGTACAGAGACAGGCGTGGATTTTTTAAAGAATATTTTTGGGAGGTCGTGGATTTTTTTAAAGAATATTTTTGGGAGGTCGTGGATTTTTTAAAGAATATTTTTGGGAGGTCGTGGATTTTTTAAAGAATATTTTTGGGAGGTCGTGAATTTTTTAAAGAATATTTTTGGGAGGTCGTGGATTTTTAAAGAATATTTTTGGGAGGTCGTGGATTTTTTAAAGAATATTTTTGGGAGGTCGTGGATTTTTTAAAGAATATTTTTCGGAGGTCGTGCATTTTTAAAGAATATTTTTGGGAGGTCGTGCATTTTTTAAAGAATATTTTTGGGAGGTCGTGAATTTTTTAAAGAATATTTTTGGGAGGTCGTGGATTTTTAAAGAATATTTTTGGGAGGTCGTGGATTTTTAAAGAATATTTTTGGGAGGTCGTGGATTTTTTAAAGAATATTTTTGGGAGGTCGTGAATTTTTTAAAGAATATTTTTGGGAGGTCGTGGATTTTTAAAGAATATTTTTGGGAGGTCGTGGATTTTTTACAGAATATTTTTGGGAGGTGTCTTTACAAGGCGTGGATTTTTATACCCTTCACCACACTGTGGTACAGGATATTATGTCTTTGTGCATATGTTTGTAACAGGCAAAGGTAATCGAGATAGACCCATGGTTTCTTTTGAGAATATGCATAGAATCACTTTCTGAGTCGATTTATGCATGTCCGACCGTCTGCCTATGTTAAATTGTAAACAAAGTACAGGTCGCATTTTTGATTCGAATTGGAGGAAATTTGTCACAGCTCATTTATTTGGTCAAAGGACGAACCCTTTTGAAATTGGGAAAAATCGGTTCAGATTTAGATATAGCACCCATATATATTTTTGTCCGATTTAAGGTAAATGGGGCACCAAAGACCCTATAAATCTTTCGATTTGCACGAAATTTGGCATACGGTACTGAATTAGGTCCAGAATGGTGTGTGCTAAGTTTCGTGAAAATCGGTTCAGATTTAGATATAGCTCCCGGATATAGTTCCTTCCAATTTTAAGTAAATGGTGCACCAAAGTTCCTATATATCTTTCGATTTGCACGAAATTTTGTATAGTGTACTGAATTGAGTCTAGAATGACGTGTGTCGAGTTTCGAGAAAATCGGGTCAGATTTAGATAAAGCTGCCATATATATTTTCGTCCGATTTAAGGTAAATGGGGTACCAAAGTTCCTATATATCTTTCGATTTGCACGAAATTTGGCATAGGGTACTAAATTAGGTCCAGAAAGTTCTTCTTCTTCTATATATTTCGTCCGATTTTACCTAATTGGTGCACCAAAGTCCCTAGATTTGCACGAAATGTTGGACAGTGTAATCAATTGAGTGTAGAATGACGTGGTTTCGAGAAAATCGGATCAGATTTAGATATAGCTCCCATGTATAGTTTCGTCCGATTTAAGGCAAATGGGGCACCAAAGAGTGGATTTTTTTAAGAAAATTTTTGGGAGGTCTTTACAAGGCGTGTATTTTTTTAAAAATATTTTTGGGAGATCTTTACAAGGAGTGGATTTTTTTAAGAATATTTTTGGGAGGTCTTTACAAGGCGTGAATTTTTTAAGAATATTTTTGGGAGGTCTTTACAAGGCGTGGATTTTTTTGAAGGAATATCAAAGGCGACTTTTACTTTTTCTACTACTCAGGAATAGAAAATCTCTGCCTTATACGGCCCAGAAAACCATGTACTTTTAGATTCTCCCACCCACACAAAAAATACAAATGAAAGAAAGAGCTCGTTTTTCTAATTTTTTTTTCACTTTCATGTTAAAGAATGAAAAAAGTAATCCGTAATTATTTTTAGTTTTTGTCGTTTTTTAATAGATTTTGTTGTTGTTTTCTTTTTTCTTTGGCTTTATAACAATTTCAAAAAAACATGCACTTCATTGAGAACCTGTAAATCTGCAATAATCATTAATTCGAATTTCGAGCACCAAATTTTCATGACCATCAAACAATCAATCACAATGCTTGCCATCTAATGTAATGAAATTCAAAATTTTTCAAAGATGTAATGTGAATTGAAAATAATTAAAATTAAATTTTTTTATAATAATAAAGATCTGTAAGATCCAGATATTTTTAAGTCTTTTTTTTTTTGTCTCATCTCATGTAACCAATACTTCTTTTTTTATTTATTAATGACAACGAATTTCAAAACATTATTCCATCACAAACCTCATACCAAATAAGTGTATATATATTGATATATTAGCTTATCTTTGCTTGCGCTTTTGTTTTAAGGCCATACAAATCTGCACCAGGACGAAAAACCCAAAAAAAAAATAATAATCAGCAAAGCAACTTTCATCATGTCGTGTCGTTTAAATAATAATAAATAAAAAAAAAACAATCCAAAATCAAACTCAACTAATTTCAGAGAATGTTACTATTTTTTCAATTTTGGACAACTAATAGCAACTACTACTACTCAGTTCCGCACTTTTTTATATATTGTTTGAAATGCAATACTAACCAATTTTGAATTCCAAAAAATCTAAATAAAATAAAATAAATCACTAATAAAATTTCTATTATTTTTCCAGATGTCCCCACCGGCAAATCTCGGTCTGCTCAGTCAACGAATAAATCAACAACAACAGCAGCAGCAACAACAACAAGCGATCAACAACATCGGACAATCAACAACAGCAGCACAAGCAACGAACAATTCAGCCACAATCAATCGACTGGAGAACAATCATCAACAGCAGCAGCAGGCAGCAGCCACGTCACAACACAAACGGAGCCTTTCGTTCAATCATCATCTCAGCTACAATCAATACACACACACTCAGCATCCACCACCTCATCAAATGCATCATCATCCTCAACAACAACAACAGCCACCAAGTCTACCAAGTCATCCAGTGGCAGTGCCAAACCACAAATCAAATTTAGTCCAGACATCGAACAGTATTTCGAAGACACAAATGCCGGTGCATCATACGGGAAACACCATGGCGGGAGCAGCAGTGGCGGCGGGGGTAAACGCAAGGACAGGAAACACAAAAGGTAAAGGACATGATTTGCTGGGAAGGCCGTAAAGTAAATCCCTATATAGAAGATTTCTAAAAAGCCATTGTAGAGACCTCCCAAAATATTCTTTAAAAAATCCACGCCTTTGATAGACCTTCAAAAAGTAATCCTTAAAAAATCCACGCCTTTGATAGACTATAAAAAGTAATCTTTAAAAAATCCACACCTTTGATAGACTATAAAAAGTAATCTATAAAAAATCCATGCCTTTGATAGACCTTCAAAAAGTAATTTTTGAAATATCCACGCCTTTGATAGACCTTCAAAAAGTAATCTTTAAAAAATCCACGCCTTGGAAAAGACCTTCAAAAATATTCTTTAAAAAATCCACGACTTGTAAAAACCTCCCAAAAATATTCTTAAAAAAAACCACGCCTTGTAAAGACCTCCCAAAAGTAATCTTTAAAAAATCCACGCCTTGTAAAGACCTCCCAAAAGTAATCTTTAAAAAATCCACGCCTTTGATAGACCTTCAAAAAGTAATCTTTAAACCAGTGAGCGGAGCAGTATAGTCGGACGGGGCCAACCATATGATACCCTACACAACTACCACGAAAAGCACACTTTCGACGGTTCTATATTCTGAGCCTGAGCAATATTTCGTGATAATTGACAATTTTTACAGATTATAGATCAAGAACTCCTATTTCTAAGTCTTGAATATTTTCCAAAATGTTTTTTCTTGGAGAGAATTTTTTCGCCATACAATAAGAAATTGGTCACTTTAGGTTTTGGTTGATTTGACCCTCGGAAAATTGACCGATCATCATCTAAACAGCCGCTCTAAGTATTTGGTCAGTTCCCCTTCACCTTGTAAAATATATGATGTTCTGTATATAATAATTGCCTCTAAAGCGACTAGAAATTCAGACAAAATTAAAGTTTTCGGTTCATTGCACCCCCTGAATGAAATCTCAACTTCACCGAAAACTATAAGCGTCGTCCTTGACCATAATCGGAACTTCATTTACAATTTCAAAGCGATAATAATATGCACATAGTCACCTTTACTTAATTACGTATAACTCCCGCATCGGAGTACATACAGACATATAATTGGTATCAATATGAAGGTCAACAACTCATCTTGGACATACTATCAACATCTCGAGTATATGTCCTTCAGGAGCAAGTATATACGTCCCAGAATACAAATTTTGTAATTTTTCACACAAAAGTCAGGGTCTATTTGACCTGCTAAATATTGACCGATCTTTCTCCAAACAGGCATGCTTTTTCTTTGGCCCGAACCGCTTCTCCATGCAAAATTTCACGGTGTTCGGGCCATTATTGCGGCCTCTGGAGCGACCAGAAAAACCGACAAAAATTTAGTATTTGGTCCATTTCATCCCCTAAATATTAACCGATCTTTCCCAAAAACAATAGGGGTCTTCATTGGCCAGAACCCATCCTACATGCAAAATTTCGTGAAGATTGGTCCATAACTGTGGCCTGTATCGTGTTTACAAATTATAATGGACAGACGGACGGACGGACGGACGGACACACATGTCTAGATCGACTCAGCTAGTCGAGATATGACGATCGGTATACTTAAAGGTGGGTCTAGGACCAATATTTCGCGGCGTTACAAACTTTTGGGGCTGCACAAAGCTATAATACCCTGACAACATAGTTGTGTAGGGTATAAAAATCCACGCCTTGTGTAGAGACCTCCCATAAATATTCTTTAAAAAATCCACGCCTTGTGTAGAGACCTCCCAAAAATATTCTTTAAAAAATGCACGCCTTGTGTAGAGACCTCCCAAAAATATTCTTTAAAAAATCCACGCCTTGTGTAGAGACCTCCCAAAAATATTATTTAAAAAATGCACGACTTGTGTAGAGACCTCCCAAAAATATTGTTTAAAAAATCCACGGCTTGTCTAGAGACCTCCAAAAAATATGGTTTAAAAAATCCACGCCTTATGTAGAGACCTCTAAAAAATATTCTTTAAAAAAACACGCCTTGTAGAGACCTCCCAAAAATATCCTTTAAAAAATCCACGCCTTAGATAGACCTCTAAAAATATTCCTTAACAAATCTACGCCTTAGATAAACCTCTAAAAAATATTCCTTAACAAATCTACGCCTTAGATAAACCTCTAAAAAATATTCTTTAACAAATCTACGCCTTAGATAAACCTCTAAAGAATATCCTTTAAAAAATCCACGTCGTAGATAGTCCTCTAAAAAAATATTCTTTAAAAATCCACGCCTTGTAGAAACTTCCCAAAGATATTCTTAAAAAAATCCACGCCTTGAGTAGAGGCCTCCCAAAAATATCCACGCCTTATATTAGTCCTTAAAAAAATAGTTTTTAAAAAATCTACGCCTTTAAGAAGTCTTCTATACATTAGGGTCTTTATAGGTCTCCTATAGATCATAATATTTATATTCTATACTAAATCTCCTTTTTTCTTCTTTCAGCTAATTGGAATATTACAAATATGCGCCCAGCACCACCATTACGCCCTAGCATTTTAAATACCAGCACAACCGGCGGTAATAGTAGTGGTGGTGGCAGCGGTGCCGGTGGTAGTATTGGTTCCAATCTATCCAATTATTGTAATGGTCGTAAAAATCAACCAACTTTTGAAGAGGATGCCTTAGTTTTGCGCGTTTTTGAGGCCTATTGTGCGGCCTATCAGAATACCACACGCAATACCATACATTCGGGTAAGTCGAAAACGAAACGAAAAAAATATCCACTAGCGAAGAATACACCAGCCTATTTCAAATCCATCTTTCATTCCCATATGGCCCAAATGTTCCATATATATACATAAATGGCTAAAACACCAACACCACCATCAAAATGCTTTTTATTAATACATACAAACAAACATATGTGTCGAACATCAGTGTGTTTATTTTAATAGATTAATTTTTTTAAATAATTCTATACACCATTTACATCGACAATGCTTTTTTTTAATAAAACAGCTTCAAAGGTATTGTGCTAAAGAACAAGAAGACAAAACTATAGCATACTTTTAGGAGCTTGCTGTTAATTTCCATTGTTTTTTGTGTGTTTTCCTCTGTGGGATTTTGTGTATAGTTATTTAACATTTTATTTTAGAAAATTCAGAACATTTGCTTTATAATTCAGAATTATTCACAAAATATAAACACCTCATAATTTGCTGCATTACTTAAAAAAATAGACCTACACCACCACCATACTTTTGTAATCATTTAAAAAATATCTGAAACATAACAATGACATCGAAGGGACTAGTTGCCAATTTTATTTTTCCCAATGGTTATTATAATTTTTAATCTTGGATTTTGTTTTATTTTATATAGTAATAAAATCAATATTTAATTTAAGTCATTCATAGACAATTTTAACACTTGATATTTATGCTATTTATTATAGAAAAATTAAAAAAAAATCCGAAACACCATAAACAGCTATTGTATAACAGCTTACATTACTTACACATATTAAGGTTTAGGTTAATTTTTTTTTTCATTTTTTATTATTATTTCCTTTAGTATATAAGATTATTTGTAATTGTACATACATATATTGTTAATTGCTATTTTATAAGCTCTCTATCTCACCTGCTGACCTGATTGTGTTAATGGATCACCTTAGCTGAAATATTTTTTATAAATTATTTTGGTTTAACATCGATTTAGATTTTTTTGGTTTAACCCATGGTTATATTTTTTTTAATACTGGTTATAGTTTTTTTTTGGTTCCTTTGATTTCATTTGGTGATTTTTTTTATGATTTGCCTCCAATCAAACACACACACGCATATATATATTTGATTTGATTTTTGATTTTATCTTTTGTAATGATAATGGGTTTCTTAGATAGGACTCGCAGATCCTCTTTATTTTCGAATACAATAAATTTGAATTCAATTTCAAAATTTAGTTAAAGCCGTCAGACACATTATTCACTATCCACCATAAGGTGGAGAGTTTATATTAAATTTGTCATTCCGTTTGCAACACCTCGAAATATTCCGACCGACCCTATATCTTAGATTGGGGAAAAAGAAATCCATTATTTTTATGCTTCGTAATGTCCGTTTTGGACCAAATATGCACCGTTTGTTGTATGATTTGTTGTAAAGATAACTTCATAATGCCTCTCACCGAAGTCCAGCTATCTATTTCCAAAAAAATCCAGTAGTCGATTTTCCCCAACCTAATATAAAATTTGTCATTTCGTTTACAAACACCTTAAACTATTCAGACCTTACAAAAATGTATTCTTAATCAGAACAAAAATTCAATGTCCGACTGTCTGTTCAAATTTCGATAGAGCTTTAGAAATTTTGCATATACATTGGTATTGAAAATGAGATGTTTTGATCCATGTTTTGGCATAGGCCCTTCTCAAATTTCCCTATTTTGGGGATATTGTTACAGATTTCAACCAAATTTTTGTAATTTGGTATTTTCAGTTCCCACTGAGTATCAAATCTTCCTACTGAAGAAGATCAATATTGGTCCACTTTTTACAATAGCCCCATTATTCGATACTTTGGATCCATTTTTTTGTGTAGCTCTTGGGCATGTTTTTCTGTCGAATTCGCTGTAATTTGATATTTGGATTATCATTGAGTATCAAATCTTCATACCAAAAATTATCAATATTGGTCTGAATTTCAGCATTTTGGGGATCTTGGGCACGGTTTACAACCGATTTGACTGTAATTCAGTATTTTGAATTATCATAGATTATGATATATTTCTACCAAAAAATTATCTATATCGATCCAAGTTTTGGTATAGGCAACATAATACGGTACCTCCGAAATTTCGTTATATCGGGGTTTTTCTCACATTTTTCAATAACATTGACTGTAATTCGGCATTTTGTGTTATTATTGCATCGAATATTTACCTATTGTTTATTGTTTAGGTTCTCATTGCGTAGCAATGTTTTCACCAAAATTTATCAATATCGGTCCATGTTTTTGATTAAGCTCCAAATAAGGGTACCTCCCAAATTTCGGCATTTTGAGATTTTTTCATGTTCGGAAAATTAATTTTATAATATGCTAACCAGCCTATCCGATTTGAAGTAAACTTTGCACAAGCTATTTGTTTTGCCAAGCCTAGGTAAATACCGAAGATGGGACCCATTGGTGCATTCCTTCTGGTACCTCCCCTACAAAGAGTCAACATTTTCAATATTTATAATTTCAATATCAGGGGAACGGACAATCTAATTTGAACCATACTTTACACAACCTATTATATTTACCAAGCCTAGATCATGTACGAAGATGAGACCTATTGGTCAACTCCTTCTGGTACCTCCCCCATAAATGGTAAACATTTCCAATATTTATGAATAAATTATTAGGCGAATTGAATGTCCGATTTGATCCATACTATGCATTTCGTAACATTTCTTTCAAAGATGGGACCCGTAGGTCTACTCCTTCTGGTACCTCCCACACAAAGGATCAAAATTGAGCTGAAATGCATTTTATAATATAATGTGAACGGACTATCCCATTAGCATGCCTATATAGGGTAGCATGATGGAACCTATCGGTCCACTTCTTCTAGTACCACCCTCACAAAGGGCCAACATTTGGACTCTCATATGAAGCGAACGGAATTTCCAAATTGCATCGAAACTTTGTACATCGTAATATGGTTACCTTAACTAGATTTTGTCCGAAAATAAGACACGTCGGTCCACTTTTATTGGTACCTTCCACATAAGGTCAAAATTTGGGTGACAGACGAAAGAACTTTCCGATTTGAATAAAACTTTACATAGCCTTATATTTTAGTCATGTCTATATAATGTCTACTTTTATCGAAACTTTGCACGTCGTAATGTGGTTACCTTATATCCAAAAATTAGACCCGTCGGTCCACTCCTTCAAGTACCTCCCACACAAAGTCTCAACAAATGAATATTGGTATACCCTTCACCACACTGTGGACAGGGTATTATGTCTTTGTGCATATGTTTGTAAAGGGCAAAAGGAATCGAGATAGACCCATGGTTCCTTTGAGAATATTCATAGAATCACTTTCTGAGTCGATCCGTCTGAGTCTGTCCGTCCATCTATTTTTGTGAGCAAAGTACAGGTCGCATTTATGATCCAATTTGAATGAAATTTGGCACAGGTCACTTATTTGGCCCAAGGACGGACCCTATTGAAATTGGAGAAAATCGGTCCAGATTTCGATGTAGCTCCGATTTTATGTAAATGGTGACCCACGCTCCCAATATTGGTTCGATTGAGACAAAAATTTGCATAGAGTACTGAATTAGGTCCTGATTGATGTTTGCAAAGTTTTGTTGGAATCGGTTCAGATTTAGATATAGCTCCCATATATAGTTGCGTCCGATTTTATTTAATTGTGCATCACGCTCTCAATATTGGTCCGATTGTGACACAATTTTGCTCAGAGCACTGAATTAAATCCGGATTGATTTACGCGAAGTTTTGATGGAGAATTCATAGAATTCCAAAAAAAAAAAATTATTTTCAACAAAAATGATCCTTTACATACGCCACAGTTCCTTTCGCCCCTGCTAGTGCTTTGAGCTTATGATCCCTTCAGGTGTTTTTTGTTTTTATTCCTTTGCTTTACATGCCATTATATTGTTTTCCCTGTTTTATTGTTTATTTGCTGTTTCATTTTCCATTGTTTTTTGTTTCCTTTGCCAAACAACAACAACACCCAACCACCTTGCCACCCACCAAATCACCAATATTCTAAGCATTTCACATTTCTTGTTGTTGTTTATATGTGTGTGTCTGTGTATTTCCCGTTTAGTCTCTGCGTGTGTGTGTTTGTTTGTATTCGTGTTTTGTTCTCATTGTTGCGTTTTGTTCCGTTCCGTTCCTCACTTCGTAAATTCATGGTTCTCTTCTTTTTTTATTTCTATCATTGTTTTTTTCTCTCTCTTTCTCTCTTTATCACTACTTCTACTTCTACGTTGCGATCGAAAAAAAAATTAAAAAAAAAAAAATTGGAAACCAAAACAACCATGTTTAAAAAAATATGCAGCCCTCCAACCCTGGACCCCCTGTTTGCCCATACGCGGCGGCAAACTAAAGACCAGCAAACATTTTTCAACATCCAATCCCCATTTGCCATTTCTCTGCAATACCGGTGTACAATTTCCTGGTGGTTCTGCCGGTGGTAGTGCTGCTGGTAATGTTCCGCATCGCCAGAACTCATCCACAAGCAGTTTGAATTCTTCGTTTATTTGGCGTGAGGCTAGCCCCAATAATTTTAATTTATATTCCTCTTCGATATCATCGTTAAATGTCGCATCAGCAGTGGGGGTGGGGCCACAAAATTCCGCCACCGGAGGCTATAGATATTCATTAACGAATTCTGGTTCTGGCTCAGCCATGCCAGGTATGAGTGGTGGAAGTGGTACGGGAGGCGGCAGTGGTCCATCCTCCATGGGCCTGGACTATCGAGCCCTATCCGAAGAACGTGCCACCCGTAAATCATTGAATCGCCTGAAAAGTGGTTTCGGCTCGGGCTATGACAACATCTTTATGACCCCGCTGCTGCCACGCAAGAATAAAGGTTCACCGAAAATCGTCAAATCCAATTATCAATCACCCCAAAGACTGCCACCACCTCCGGTGAGGAATCGTTCCGAAGATCGCCAATCCTCGACGAGTATCAATAAAAGTATGCCCAACCATCCGGGTTTGTATGATCGGCGCTTGAATCGTTCCTTTGAAACGGCTGGTACCTCGCATCGCTATGCTGGCTATGGTGGGGGTTATATGATGGGTTATGGCCTGAAATCGACTTCGTTAAGGCGCAGTACCCCCCAGCTACCCAATGATGGTGATGTGGAAAGTGATGATGCGGCCGGTAATGATTGCCATAGCCTGACACACAAGGGCTGCACTGAGGCTTTGCTTATGAGAAATGGCCATAATTCTGGAGGAGGAGCGGGATCATCAGGTGCTGCTGCTGGCTCAGGAATATATCCAACGGACCCATGTACGGGAAATGGAGATGGTGACTCATCTCAAGGCCAATCTGGCAATTGGTGTTGTGGTAATTTTGTTATGAAACAGTGGCGTAAAATCAACAATTACTGATTGTCACCCACCACTGGTTCATCGTCATATGCATCTGCATCAGCATCATCATCCTGCTCGACAGCATCAGGGGTGATGAAAATCATCAAACATGAATGAGAGATGACAAAGAAAAATATGCATTCATCCATAGCCATAGACATTTAAAGCCATAGCATGATCCACAAGTCATAGCCTTACACCACACCTTCCATACACCCTCCACCCCGATTCACATCCATAAAAATATGTCCCATTTGTGCTCCTCCCATTCCCATTGTTGTAAACAATAAGCAGTGTCATTACATTTTGTAGTTAATAAAATTTTGTTGTATAAAAAAATATATATTAAAAAAATACAAAAACAACAACAACAACAACAAGCTGTTGAAACCCTGATCGAATCAGAACAACAGCAACAATAACCAACAAAAAAACAACAACAAATAATTGTGTTTCATAGCTGTTATTTAGTTTAATATTCAAATTGTTTTTTATATTGAAACCTAGTTTAAAAAAAACTAACCAAAAAATACACCAACAACTACAACAACAACAAAAGTAAACTAATTTGTTTTTGTTTGTTTGTCGATCTAATCAAAAATGTGTTTTTAACTATTTTTTGTTATAATAAAGAAATATAATTTTTTTAATTTTTATTGTGGTTGTTAATAACAATAAAAAATAATAGCAACAAAATTTTGAAACCTAAAATATTTCCATTTTATTTTTTTTCAGCAGGGTAGAATTTTTTTGAGGTTATAATTTTAATTCTGATGTTTTATTCAAATGGGGTTTCGAGCCCGGAATCCAATTCTTTAAGGTTTCAAATGTGACCCTCAGCCTTATGGCTAATTGAGATTATAGACGCTATGTTACTTTGAAAATGTCGAAATTTTGAAACCCCAAGGGACACATCGGTCCACTATTTCAAGTACTCTCTCCTTTTCAAATATATAAATAAATCTTTAATGAAGCGAGGAGTATCCAATTTCAGTATCCATAAAGTACACTTTGTCACATTTTTTAACAAACCTAAACCAAGTTCGAAGATAGGAGCCATAGGTACTCTTGTTCCCGTAACACCCACCACGAAGTGTTTGAAATTGCAATTTTTTTTTTTTTTTTTTTTTGAAATCCCCTGTTACTCAAAAAATTAGTGTCCGATTTAATCTTTACTTTGCACGTCATAATGTAATAACGCAGAACCGCAGACCAAACATGGGACTCATCGGTCCACACCTTCTGGTACCTCTCATACAAGGGGTCCAAATTTTGAAACGTTTTCTAAACCCAATACCAAACGAATGGAATATTAAATTTAATTTAAATTTTGCTCTAGTAATATTTTTTACCAAACATAGATAAAGTTCAACGATGGAACCCATAGGCCTGATTCTTCTGGTAGCTCTCCCACAAAAGGACATTAATTTAGAAATTAAATATTTTGGAAGTAAAACTTGTATGAAGCGAAGAGAATATCCAATTTCATACAAAATATTTTCAATAAACCCAGATCATGTTCAAAAATCGAACCCATTGGTCCACTCCTTGTGGCTCCTCCCCCATAAAGTTTCAAAATGAAGAAAACTTCGTATGAACCTTATGAAGCATCCGCATTTGATCCGTTAAATGGATATCGTAATATTTTTATAAAACGCAGTTCCGCAGATCGAAGATGAGGCCCGTCGGTCCACACATTCTGGTACCTCTCATACAAGGGGTCCAAAATGTTGAACCTTTTTTACCCAATACCAAGCGAATGGAATACTAAATTAAATTCAAAATTTGCTCATAGTAATATTTGTTTACCAAAAATGTATGAAGTTCGACGATGGGACCCATAAGATCCAAATACAAATGGTTCAAATTTGGAACATTTTCTAAACCCAATACCAAGCGAACGGAATATCAAATTTAATTCCAATTTTGCTCATAGTAATTTTTTTCCAAAAATATATTATTACGACGATGGGACCATATATCAATATCCTTCGGTAGCTGTCCCATATGAGGTCAATATTTTGAAAATTAAATTTTTGAAAGTAAATCTTGTAGGAAGCAAAAATGATACCCAATTTCATCAACATTCTGCTAATCGTAATATTTTTAGCAAGTTTAGATCAATTCCGAAAATGGGACGCATCGGTCCAAAACCTTCTGGTAGCTCCCTCAAGTCAAAGTGAGAATCCGATTTTATACAGACATTGCACATCATATTTTTACCAAGCCTAGATCTAGTTGGAAGGTGAGATCAATGGGTCCGATCCTTTTGGTTCTTTCCAGTCCGAAGATGGAACCCATAGGCAAATTTTTTCTGGTACCTCCATAGCCAAGGTACCTCCGCTCCGCTACTTCTGGTACCTCCCACACAAAGAGACAAAGTGTTGAAAATCCAATACCAACCTAAAATGAGTGCTCTAATTAATCCAAACCTTCCATATTATAATATTTTTACCAAACCGGTCCGCTCCTTCAGGTACCTTTCCCACGAAGTATCAAAATTTTGAAATATTGTAAATCCAATATCAAACAAATGTCAGTATCCGATTTGATCCAAACATTGCACATTATAATATTTTTACCAGACCTTGATCAAGTCCAAAAATGCAACCCATAGGTCAATTTTTCTGGTTCCTCCCTCACCAAAGAGTCAAAATAATCCAGTCCGAAGATGGAACCCATAGGCAAATTTTTTCTGGTACCTCCATAGCCAAGGTACCTCCGCTCCGCTCCTTCTGGTACCTCCCACACAAAGAGACAAAGTGTTGAAAATCCAATACCAACCTAAAATGAGTGCTCTAATTAATCCAAACCTTCCATATTATAATATTTTTACCAAACCGGTCCGCTCCTTCTGGTACCTTTCCCACGAAGTATCAAAATTTTGAAATTTTTTAAATCCAATATCAAACAAAAGTGAGTGTCCAATTTAATCCAAACCTTGCACATCATAATATTTTTACCAGACCTTGATCAAGTCCAAAAATGCAACCCATAGGTCCATTTTTCTGGTTCCCCCCTCACCAAAGAGTCAAAATGTTGAAAATGTGGAAATCCAATATCAAACAAAAGTGTGTGTCCGATTAGATCTAAATTTTTCTCTTCATAACATTTCTACCAAACCTAGATCAAATCCGAAGATGGAACCCATAGCTCCATTTTTTTCTAGTACCTCCCTCACCAAAGAGTCAAATTTTTCAATATTTGGAATTTCAATATCAATTATAAGTGAGTTTCCGATTTGATCCAAACTTTGAACATCATAATATTTTTACCCAACCTATATCACGTACGAAGATGGTAGCCATAGGTCCAGTTTTTATGGTACCTCCCACACAAAGTTTCAAAATTTTGAAAAATTGTAAATTCAATATCAATTTTAATAGAGTTTTTGATTTAATCCAAATCATGCACATGGTAATATATTTCTCGAATCTATATGAAATCCGAAGGTGGAACCCATCGGTTGACGCCTTCTGTTACCACCTCCCACACAAAGAGTCAACATTTTGATTAACATTAATTTTTTATATCATGCGAACGGAGTAGTTTATGTGGACCAAACTTTTAACATTGCAATATTTTGATCCTAGAAACCTAGATTGGGATCGAAGTTGGTGTCCCATTGGAAAACTTCTCCTGGTACCTTCCCCTTAATGTGTCAAAATTTTGTAAATTCAAAATCAAGCTTGCGGAATATTTACTAGCATCCAAACAATGCATCTCATAATATTTTTATCAAACCTAGATCCAATCCGAAGGTGGAACCCATCGGTTCGCCCCTTCTGGTACCACCTCCCACACCAAGAGTCGAAATTTTGATGAACATTCTGATCAACGGAGTAGCTTATGTGAACAAAATGTTTTAACATTGTAATATTTTCATAAAACCTAGATCAGCATCGAAGATGAGCCTCATCGGAACACTTCTTCTGATACCTTTCCCACAAAGCCTAAAAATGTTGACAATTTTGTAAATTCAATATTTATAAGAATCTGATTTTCGATTTAATCCAAATTATGCACATGCACATTTCTACCAAACCTTGTTCTAATCCGAAGATGGGTGCCATCGGACCACTCCTTCGGATACCTCCCCCACAAAGTATAAACATTTTTCAATTTTTATAAATTTAATATTAAGCGAATGGAATGTCCGATTTAATCCAAATCTTGCACATGGTAATATTTTTTTCCAAACCTATATCAGGTTCGATGATGGGACTCATCGGAACACACCTTCGAGACAATTGCCGGTACTGCGATTCTTTTTTGTCGGTAATGGTAACATTAATCTTCTGCGTATACATTGCTACTACTGCGAAGTATTTTTGGAACAAAAAGTGGAATTAATCGGCACAAGTTTTTTAAGGCTATCCTGTATACACTTAAAATTTCGGTATTTTGAGATTTTTTCAACTGATTTTTGTTTTTGTTTTTTTTTTTTGTTTTTTGAATTGTCATTGGGTAAAAAATCTCACTACCAAAAATTATCAATATTGGTCCGGTAGCTCCCATATATAGCTGCCTCGCAAATTTCGATATTTTTGGGAGCTTAGGCACGTTTATCAGCCCATTTAGCTGTAATTTGATATTTTGGATTTTGGGAAGTTACCATATAATCGAACCACCCATTATTCGGTATTTTAGGGATTGCGAAATAATTTTGCATTGGGTAACAAAATCTTTCATTGGGTAACAAAATCTTCGTACGGAAATTTATCCATATTGGTCCACTTTTTCGGATAGCCTCCATACAATGGTACCTCCCAAATTTCGTTATTTTGAGGAACTTGTAATTGGGTATTTTGAATTCATGTTAGGTATCGAATTTCCCTACCAACATTTTTCAATATCGTTTCCCATTTTGATATTGTCCCCATTATATGGAACCTCAAAAATTTCGATATTTTGACGAGTTGGGGTATGTTTTTCAACCGAATTGGCTGTAATTTTATATTTTGAATCCTCATTGGGTGGTAACTCTACCTACCAAACATTATCAATATCGGGTCCGCATTTTGGTATAGTCCCCAAT